AGGAAGCTCAGCTCAGAGTTGTTGGCTCGTACTACAGGGGTTTCTTTGTGGCCGTAGAAGACTAGCGTTGTAATCATAGTTAGAAAAACTCCCAGCAGTGCAAATGAGGCTAGCAGAGTTCCAAGGATTTCATCATATGCTAAAAATTCTAATTCTTTGTTGACACAAGCATCTCTCTTCTTGTTGGACCAGTACTCTGGTGGGCATTTCATACAGTGTATTGAGTCTGCAAGATAAAAAAAAATAAAGAAAACAGATAAATACGGAGTTAAATTGATGTTATGGTTTCAGAGGTCAAAGCTTCTAAAACTGCATTCCGGATTTTCTGTTTTTTCCCTTTAAGTCATTATGTGCAATATAATTAAATTGTTTCTTTACCTGTTGAATTACTGATTTCGCCTGCTTGACAGGGAATGCAATTATAACAGCAGATTGGCTTGCCTTTCTGGAGGACCTTACGAGTTCCTGGGAGACAGCTCTCACTGCAGACTGACACAGGAACCTCCTACACACATAAACACAATTCATATGTGAAAAACATAAAATATGAAGCTCAACATCCATTTCAAGGTTTTTACAATCTTCAGTGATCAGTTAAGATGTCAAAACCTGAGTTTCTACTTTACCATGCTCAGCCCATTTCCCCAGACAACTGGGATGTTATTCAAGATAAACTGATCAATCTCTGGAAAAGACACATCATAAATGCCAACTGTTACTCCTTCCATGGTTCCTTTGTTTGTCATTTGTAAGTTTACAAGTTCATATCTTGCCGGTGAATCTCCATTACTGTCAAAATAAACTCTTTCTCCTTCCTCGGTGGTGAAATTCACAGTGTTGAGATATTGCAAGACCTGGTAAATAAATCATAGAGAGATTAAACTACAAATTCCTGCTCTTATTATTCTTTCACACTTAACTGATGGTTTCTCACCTGCCATGGTTGAATGTGTTTGGCATCAGCACAGCTCCTATTTGAAAAAGGCCCTTTACCTTCCTCACATTTAATCAGGTTTTCAAGAGCATGAGCCACTGCGTAAACTGACTTGTATACATTATTAGTAAATCTCAGCTCAGAGACATCTGTGAAATACGATTCAACGGTCTGCAAGCTCTCAAAGCCGCTGCATGGCTTTCTTTGTGTATTCGCAGTGGCATTCAGAGCGCAGTCAAACACGTCTTCCCAGAAATCTCTGACAAACTGACTGTCAGGAAACTGTGATGGGTGGAGCTGCCTCAGGTGCTCCTGCAGCCCCGGGATCTTAGCTTTGCTGACAGTGAAGCCCAGTGAGCCCACCAGGAGGCTGTGTCCCTCACTGTCCGTCAGAGAGTCATCTGTAATCCAGGCGTCACTGCCGACCCACTGCAGTCCTGTAATGTTCTGTTTGAACAACTCTTTTGCCAGCAACTTAATTTCTCTGTGAGACATAAAAGCCATAATCACTTTGGAAGTGGCATGCTTAATGATCTCTATTATTCTCTGCAGGCTGCCAGGAGGATCTGACGATGAAAATACTTCAGAATACTCAATGCACACTCCATATTCTTGTGCAGCTTGGATAAATGCAGCAATGCCATTGAGGCCATATTCGTTTTCCACAGATAGAGCCCCAATCCAGGCCCAACCAAAGTGCTTGACCAGCTTAGCCAGTGCTCTGCTCTGGTAATAGTCACTGGGAATAGTTCTAAAAAAAGTGGGGTACTCTTTCCTGTTGCTCAGACAGGCACAGGTGGCAAAATGACTGATCTGCAGTTAATTATACAAACATGTTACTGGCAGAGCAAATATTTGAGATTCTTGCATAATAACCAAATAGCTTCATAATGTAGATATTTTCAACCACACACTTAATTAAATCAAAGTTAAAGATACGTCACACTAACTGCAATGACCATTCTTCTATGACTTACCACAGGTATATCGAACCTTCCAACAACTTGTGCAAATGCAATAGTTGGTCTCGATCCTGAATGTCCCAAGATAGCTTGCACTGTCTCAGATTTATTGCAGTTGTTGTCACTGAGTTCTCCCTTTAGTCCGCTCACCAGGGCCAGTGCAGCTCTCAGAATGCCCATAGTTCCACAGTCATCATATATCTTGTAGCCCAGTTTAACATTAGGGAGCAAATTAGTGTTGTTGTTGATCTCATTTATAGCAAACATGACCACTTGTGCAAATTTAAATTCTCTAAAATTGAAGCTGGGTTGATACAAGATAGAAAAAAATATTATATATTTGTCTCGAATGCAATGCAAAATACCCATACACAATTTAAAATAGACCTAACAATACATACTTGTTGCATTTTCGCAATTCTGGAAATTTCTGAAATGTGTTAATTACATAATCCTGCGCTGTGCGAAAAGAAAATATGCCTCCGATTACAAGGTCGCCATCTTGAGCCAGTTCAGGTGGTTGTGCTGAGCCATGCAGTCGGCACACAGAGTCTCCCTTTCCCATCAGCACAACCAAGAGGAGCAACCTCAACAATGGCATAGCTCTGCTCTGCTCTTCAGGCCAGGCCAAACAGCTCCAATGCTTATGACATGGCTTTATACACCTTCAACAACAAGAGGGAAGTTGTCATGGTTGAACTCATGCCTCAGGAGACCACAGAAAGTTAAGCCAAAGATGTTTTGTCTCAGAAAATGTGGATTTCATTCTGTGCTTTTATGAACTGTATTACATGTTATATATATATATACATATTAGTGCTGGGCAACGATTAAAATATTTAATCGCGATTAGTCGCATGGATTTTTTGCGATTAATCTCATTGTTATGGCAAAGTTTAATAATGAATTCAAAAGTAGTGTATTGCGCACTTTTATTTTAAAAGTACTGCTATATGAACAAAAGGGCAATAACATTTGGTTTGCAAACACTTTAAACAAATACGGTGCTTTTTAGCAGCAGTATTCCCTTTACACAGTAGCAGTTACATCTCTTCACTATCTGTGCTCAGTGTGCTGACTGTATGTGAAACGTTCCACTGCTGTGCAACAGGAATAAAATGTTTCAGCACGTTTCATCTAAATGTGTGTCTTCATGACAGTCAGAGCATGTGAATGCAGCTCTACTGTTCATCAATATAATGCTGTAACTCCGAGGTGATGATGGTTACCCAGCGATCAAAGAATAAAGACACTTTACGCACAATTCAGGTGTATTTTCCCTTTAACTCACGAGTACAGGTAGCATGTTTTATACTTAATGTGAATATAATTCATACTTTGTTGGCATCTTATTCTGAAAACCGGATGTCCGTCTGAAGAAACCGGATGTTGTCTCACGTTAATCTTTCTGCTAACAAAGTCCTTCTCTCACTCCCGATCTGTGCCGTTTAAATGCGTTTACCGTGAATTTCAGCATATAGGTGCACTAACATGTAAGTGTCTGCTGAGTTGACCACGGAGATCTGAGTGTCTGCTGACTTCACCGCAGCGATGTCCAGTAGTCTCCATTCCTCCACCGCTGCCAGTGAGCAACGGACTTTCAAAATAAAAAAATGTGTTAACACGCTATAAAATAATTGTCGGCGTTAATTAATGAGTGCGTTAACGCGATAATAACGCGTTAACTTGCCCAGCACTAATATATATATTAATTTATTTATATAATGGTCAATATGAAAATCTTGTAGATTAGCCCCCGAAAACCACCAAGGATTAACCGCGTCCCACCACTCTACAAGAATAACACAAACGGACACAATCACCCTATACATACCTACCGGAAGCACCCTAATGCCAAATGTATACATCTCTGTTAACTAGGGTAGCAAATCAGTAACTCTTAGCCGGAATTGTGAACGGCACACAACTATCCTAA